TCTGTGAAAAAGAACCTCGGTTTACAGTTCTTTTCTAAAGAATCGGTCTCAAGGTCTCGAAGTGGGATTTGAACCCGCAACATAAGGATCAACACTTTATAGCAAACTATTTTACCACAACGCTGCGAGAACTACATTTACTTTTTGTGATTCTGCTTTGAAACAAATTTTATATAATTAAATGTTCGAAAAAATAACCAGAAGCCCCTGGCATACGACGCTCACCTGAGTGACATTGGCCATGCTGTTCTTCACTAGATTTTCCCATTTGAAATACGTAATGTGTCCTCACCCTACGCCTTGGGGTCATGATATCAACAATTTAGAATCCACGCTACCCGTGCATGCTTTCACATAAGATTAAACATTTTTGGTCCAGAGGTTCTTGAGAAGATTTTTTAAAAAGTTTCCTTTATATTTCTATGTTAAACCTGGATTCCCTATTGTGCCATCGCCCTACACCCGGGGGTCATGATTTGATTAATTTAGAACCAACACTACCCCAGAATGCTTCCATATAAGTTTCAATTTTTCTGGCTCAGCGGTTCTTGAGAAGAAGATTTTTAAAGATGTTTCCTATGTATTTCAATGTAAAAGATTGACTCGCTATTGTAGCTTCGCCCTAACCATGAGATGTTATAATTTGATTAATTTAGAATCTACACTACCCCCAGAATGCTTTAACATAAGTTTGAGCTTCCCTGACCATGTGGTTCTTGAGGAGATGATTTTTTAATGACCCAAACCTATTTTTGTCTATTTTTGCTTATCTCCCCTTGTAAATGGGCTGTCCATTTTAACCCACAAAGCAACGAGAACGATATTTGCCTTTTTTGTGATTCTGCTTTAAAACAACTTTTCTGTGATTAAATGTCCGAAAAAAATAACCAGAAGCCCCTGGCATACGACGCTCTTCTGAGTGACATTGGCCATGCTGTTCTTCACTAGATTTTCCCATTTGAAATACGTTATGTGTCCTCACCCTACGCCTGGGGGGGGGGGGGGGGGGAGGGGGTCATGATTTCAACAATTTAGAATCTACACTACCAGTGGATGCTTTCAGATAAGTTTAAAACATTTCTGGTCCATAGGTTCTTGCGATGATTTTTAAAAAGAGTTTTCTATATATTTCAAAGTAAAACCTGCGTACCCTATTGTGACCCCGCCCTACCCCAGGGGGTCATGATTTGAACAATTTAGAATCAACACTACCCCAGAATGCTTGCATATAAGTTTCAACTTTCAACCTTCAATTTTTACAGGCTCAGGTTATTGAGAAAAAGATTTTTAAAGATTTAATCTATATATTTCAATGTAAAAGATGGATTTCCCTATTTTCCCCCGCTCTATCCTCCAGGTGTTACAATTTAATCAATTTAGAATCTACACTACCCCAGAATGCTTCCACATAAGTTTGAGCTTTCCTGACCAAGTGGTTCTTGAGAAGAAGATTTTTTAATGACCCACCCTATTGTTGTCTATTCTTGATTATCCCCCATTTGTAAATTGGCTATGCTGTCCATTTTAATAATTCAAACTTCAATTTACCAATGATGTTTTGTACCAAGTTTGGGCGAAATTGGTCCAATGGTTCTTGAGAAGAAGTTGAATACGTGAAAAGTTTACAGATGGATAGAAAGAGGTGATCAGGTGAGCTAAAAACTGAATTGGAAAATATGTCGATAAATTGAATTTTTTTTTTATTTCGGAAAAAAAGTCAAACACGGTTTCAGACACAATAGAAAGAAATAAAACTGTTGAGATGAGGATGCCTTTCTCAAAGATGTAATGAATGGTGCCCATATAAACATGTTTTCATAAATCACTGACTCGGGATTTTTTTAAATAAAAGAAATAAAATGAAATCTTTGTTTTAATGATAAAATACTTCTACAAGAAACTTTATGATGAAGACTTTTAGACTTTTTTTTTTAGATGTATTAGAAAAACTCACACATTTTTCAAGTTAAATGTTTTAAATCTGACGGAATGCAAAAAACAAAAATTATCTTAGAAAGGATTAAAACTAATACATATGAAACGATCACATTTTTGCGTCTTACATTAAACACAGAATAACAAATCACTAAAGGAGTGAGAACGTTTTTGAACGTGAAGTTTAATCATGAGAAATTCTTCAACTGTCCGGGTTTTTGTCATTCTTCTTAATTTCTTGGAAATTTGAAGACAATTATCATTAAAATTTTCGTTTTAGTATTCGACACGTATAAGAAGGTTAAAATGGCGCTAATTAAGTTAATTTATTACAAGTGAAGTGTCAACGGCATCAGCATTCAAAGTAAACAAAATATTACATAACAGAGATTTCATCTTTCGTCATATACATCAATATTTCTATTTCTAATTTTTTTTCTCTGTGATAACTCTTTGCAAAATAGCGGATTTGATGTCTTGATAATTCTACCGGAATGTAATTATATAAATTAGGCAGGTCGATAGGTCAGGGGCTAAGGATGCCTAATATGCATGCAAATTTCGTGTGCATCTGTCTCTGTGTCTAACGCTAAGGAGACAAAATATGCAAATTGGCACGGGAGTCCTCGTGTAATTTAAATCTATGTCTACATTTTTAAAGTCTAAATCTAAAATTTTAATTCACAATGAAATGGCAATATAAGGAATAACTCTCTAGTTAGTATAGTATGCCAAGGACATCAACGATAGTGGGACACATGAGATAATTTATGTCATAACGGGCTTCGCCCGTCATGCAAATCATCCCATGTTTCCCACTATCGTTGATGCCCTGACATACTATACTAACTAGACGTACATTCTCGGATCCCTTCATAATTCAACCGAGTTCAGTTTGTTATACTGGTTACTGAGATAACACTATTTTTCTCATGAATATACGTTTGCTAAAGCCTCTATATCAATTCATAATTTTAAGATTGTAAATATTTTCCCCGATATATTTCTGGTATGCGTGTTTAAAATTGGTTGCTCAAAGAGGAAAATTCACTGCTTTGTCGTACAAGATGGCAGGGTAGAACTCCGAGGCCAAGTAGGTCAGAAGAAAGTCAAATGATATTTTTTTTAATTGGTGTATGAAACATATGGAGATAACGAACAGTATTCCATATCAAAAGTCCTTAAAACAATACAAGATAGGAGCAGAGCAAACACGGACCTCCAAAACATCAGAGGTGGGGATCAGGTGCTAAAAGGTGTATATAAAATTAAAAGCTGGATTCGCAAAAGTATGGATCTTCCTTCAGTTCAAACTTGATTATAATTTAAAAAAAAATATATTTTTAAGATATTCTTTACCCTACTCTTTTACAAGTTGTAATTTCAAGTGGTGTATGACACTTTGTGTAAAATGCAAGTGATATCATGACGAGATTTGTAAGATAACCAATTTCATTTCATGCTAATAAACAGTGTATTTGCGCAGAGAAAATCGATTTCTCCTTTATATAATAATATAAAAGCAGATTTTAGAACAACACTTAAACTAATATAACTGTCCCAAGTGAAGAAATATTAATATCGAAAGCACAACGAAATTCATTTTTATAAATATACCAACTACAGCCCCAACCCGGGGTTGAACTCTCAATCTCCCTGACAAAAATTAACTTTAGTTAACTATAGTAAATACTTTGATTTACTTTGAAACTGTACTCCAGAACTTTTTTGATGAGTTAGAGCTTTAAAATTGTTAAATTACATGTATACAAACGGTGCACATTTTCAAGATAATATGCAAATATACAAGTAAAACTTCCTTTTACTGTAAGAAAATACATGTAGGATGTAGAAATTTAAGAGATAAAATATAAGATATAACAATCTTTATTCAAAGTAAACATACCTTATTAATTCTAGTAAAACTCTGATACTATAGTAAACTGTAGTTAATAATAGTACACTATAGTTTACTTTAGTACTTTTTTATTATGGGAACCTACGGATTATAGCGTTCTAGACCGCTCGGCAATCTAGGTAAGTCAAAAAAGCTCCATAAATCACTTCTAATTTCATATCAATTTTCTTTTAATTAGATCTGAGAAGTTCAAAGAACCTAGAAGTACATTGAGAAGCATATAATGAAAATTGTCGTGCATAATTCGTAGAAAATACCTTCCGTAAATAATGACCTAACATTAAGTATGAAAAATGTTCATGAGTTTTTCACTAATTACTAGATTTTATTTGTTGATAAGCTCAATATATCAACCATAAAACTTGCCAAATGATAACTTTAAACGATACTGTTGTTATCCTTGTTTCATAAGCATGTTTGTTCATAGCTTGCCTCGTGTTAGAAATTAATTTTAAGCAGAACATGTTTTTGCGTATCGAATTAAGAGAATGACATATATCCCGTATGCAGGTGATAAACTTTAAGGTATAATTTTAGATAATTAAGGACAGTTGACGAATGAAAAGTTAAAGTTATCAAATTGTTGTTAGAATATCATTAAAGTCTTTTGAATAAAATATCCAAGTATAAATAAGATATGTCAGACTCTGTGAATTGTTTTATTTTAAGGTCAGTTTGATGTATCGAGTCGACATATGGATGGAATTAACTATTGTTAATTGAAAATACATGGTTAATTCATCTTAATATCGAGTTTAAGTCCACAGTAAGTGTTTTCTTCATCACATAGATAAAATTGTGAAAAGATTTCCGTTTGTGCTTATAACGTTTATTATTCAACCAGTTAAAACATCCTTCAACTATTTATGTTGAAAAAATCTGTTATAAGAATATCTAAATAGTTTAATTTCAATAATTTATAAATTATGAAATACTAGTAAGTAGCAAGTACTAAGTAAGCGCTGAGCAATTCAAAAATAAGAGACCAAACCCGTAGAATCAGATGGAGATTTTCATAAAGATTCAATTTCTTACGATTTCAGTCAGTAAGAAAACAAACACTAATTTTCTAAATGTTGTCTGTAGGACAGAATTTGTATAGTATACCATAGAATATTGATTGATAAAGAAAGCTGGAGACGCAAGATTTTATTAAAATGCTTTAATCATCAAATGATTGCACACTGATCTCTTCAGATTAGATTTGTTTTTTAAACTTCAGTTATTGTTATTTGGCCGGTGACCTGCCTTTCTCCATTCTTGTCCTTTTAGTGTCAACCATAATCTGTAATATGCACATGTATAATATAAAGATTGTATCATATTTGAATTTCTGTACGAAAGTTATAGTAAAAGCCCTTACATTTTATTCTTGAAACAGAAAGATGATAAGGATTTTGTAAATATTTAACAAACTAGCAATGTTAAGAGGAAAGAGCATAATTAGGAAGAGTTTAAACAAAATATATTTATATATTTATTGTTAAATTCACATATTATGCATTGACATATACTTACTCGGCATAATGTCACAGCAGTAGCCACGCTTAGATGGGAAAATGGACACAATTTGGCAAAATTGTCCGCGGTTACAATCGAAGTCATTGTAACACAACATTTTTTGTTCTCCAGGTGGATGCCAGTAAGCTGAAATTTAGAGTTTGTAAATTTAATTTTAATTCCCCAAAGTATATTATAAATTTCCATCTGAAAATTAAATTGAAAACTGAATCATCGTGTCTTTTAATCATTCATATTCAGTAAATGAATTATTCCTCGTTATTAAAACTAGTTTTAAAAATACCATATTGTCTCTTTTTTGAAATGGAGGGGGTTGGAAAATAAAAAATTGTATGACATCAAGATCAATGCACTTTTAAGTGGATTCATCAGAGAAATAAATTGCCATCTTATTCCATAAAGAATGTTAGAGAAGGATAACGTAAGGAAACGTAACTATTGTTTACCGTAATCTTTAGAGAGACCTAATTTACTATTTTGTTGTTATGTATTCTTTTAAATACAGTGATTTCATAACACAATGCCCCCACAAAGTCTTCTAGATCATAAATTGAATACCTGGGTGTACTAAAAAAAACAAATTACAGAGAGAGAGAGAGAGAGAGAGAGAGAGAGAGAGAGAGAGAGAGAGAGAGAGAGAGAGAGGAGGGGGTAAAATAATAGAAGTGAGCTTACCGGTCGTCATTGCCACCAGACAGAGAACGGTCAATAGAACCAACAGTTTTCCCATGATGATTTAGGACGCTGCAGATAACTAGAGAATCGAGATTGAAGCCTTATATACTGGCAGAGTATCTACAGCCACCAATCAAAGCGTCTTCCGAACAATTTCCTTGTTGAAATTTTTTTTTCAAAGAATCCTTGGGCAGAAAAGAGATAAATTATGTTAACGTTTTGGAAAAACAAATGATAATTATATGTGCTTCAAATTGTTGTTATCACATATTTGCAATTTTTTATATTTTGAAAACGTTATTTCATTAAAAAAAAAAGTTTCATTTCTTTTTCTGAAAAAAGAAAAACTCCTTAAAGCTTTGTGTTACGCGCGTTATCTTTCATATATGGGAGAGATAATGTCTGATTCAATTTTAAATCAACTGTTTGCTTTAATTAGTACGTTTATTGTAATATTGTTCCCTTTTTCTAATTTTTTCTAAAGAAATGGGCTTTTTATATAGCGATTGACGTTAGACGAAAAAGAAATTATCTAACGTGAAAAAGAAATAACCTAATTCTTTTCAAACAAAAAAATACGCTTTAAAGCATCATTTTAATATGCATTAGTAATCATTATTTTTACATCTTCAAGATGAGTGAAAAGTGGTGCTAGGCACAAGGATGGTTGAATACAATTATAAATAATCATAAAACATATTTTTAGTAAATTTAAAACTACTTTTAAGGTAGTGATTGTATGGACAGCAAATTTACTAGTCTTCTTCGTGACTTTCACTAGTTATTTTTTTCAGTGTTCTTTTAAAACAAAAAAATTACGCTTTAATGCACATCATTTTAATATGCATCTAAAGTAGTATCATTATTTTCTACATCTTCATCTGTGATGGGAGGCTAGTGCTAGGCACAAGGATGGTTGAATACAATTATAAATAATAAAACTTTTGATTTATTATAGAAATTCTCTTTCAGAATTTTTATTCATATTGAGACCCCTCCACTTGCCGGTGGAGGGCTGCAAATTCAGACCTATACTCGGCACTTGGGTCTTTTACGTAGTTACAGATATTTTTCGTGCCAGCACCTTCTGTGAAAAAGAACCTCGGTTTACAGTTCTTTTCTAAAGAATCGGTCTCAAGGTCTCGAAGTGGGATTTGAACCCGCAACATAAGGATCAGCACTTTAGAGCAAACTATTTTACCACAACGCTGCGAGAACTACATTTACTTTTTGTGATTCTGCTTTGAAACAAATTTTATGTAATTAAATGTTCGAAAAAATAACCAGAAGCCCCTGGCATACGACGCTCACCTGAGTGACATTGGCCATGCTGTTCTTCACTAGATTTTCCCATTTGAAATACGTAATGTGTCCTCACCCTACGCCTTGGGGTCATGATATCAACAATTTAGAATCCACGCTACCCGTGCATGCTTTCACATAAGATTAAACATTTTTGGTCCAGAGGTTCTTGAGAAGATTTTTTAAAAAGTTTCCTTTATATTTCTATGTAAAACCTGGATTCCCTATTGTGCCATCGCCCTACCCCCGGGGGTCATGATTTGATTAATTTAGAACCAACACTACCCCAGAATGCTTCCATATAAGTTTCAATTTTTCTGGCTCAGCGGTTCTTGAGAAGAAGATTTTTAAAGATGTTTCCTATGTATTTCAATATAAAAGATTGATTCGCTATTGTAGCCTCGCCCTAACCATGAGATGTTATAATTTGATTAACTTAGAATCTACCCTACCCCCAGAATGCTTTTACATAAGTTTGAGCTTCCCTGACCATGTGGTTCTTGAGGAGATGATTTTTTAATGACCCGAACCTATTTTTGTCTATTTTTGCTTATCTCCCCTTGTAAATGGGCTGTCCATTTTAACCCACAAAGCAACGAGAACGATATTTGCCTTTTTTGTGATTCTGCTTTAAAACAACTTTTCTGTGATTAAATGTCCGAAAAAAAATAACCAGAAGCCCCTGGCATACGACGCTCTTCTGAGTGACATTGGCCATGCTGTTCTTCACTAGATTTTCCCATTTGAAATACGTTATGTGTCCTCACCCTACGCCTGGGGGGGAGGGGGGTCATGATTTCAACAATTTAGAATCTACACTATCAGTGGATGCTTTCACATAAGTTTAAAACATTTCTAGTCCAGAGGTTCTTGAGAAGATTTTTTAAAAGAGTTTTCTATATATTTCAGAGTAAAACCTGCGTACCCTATTGTGACCCCGCCCTACCCCAGGGGGTCATGATTTGAACAATTTAGAATCAACACTACCCCAGAATGCTTGCATATAAGTTTCAACTTTCAACCTTCAATTTTTACAGGCTCAGGTTATTGAGAAAAAGATTTTTAAAGATTTAATCTATATATTTCAATGTAAAAGATGGATTTCCCTATTTCCCCCCGCTCTATCCCCCAGGTGTTACAATTTAATCAATTTAGAATCTACACTACCCCAGAATGCTTCCACATAAGTTTGAGCTTTCCTGACCAAGTGGTTCTTGAGAAGAAGATTTTTTAATGACCCACCCTATTGTTGTCTATTCTTGATTATCCCCCATTTGTAAATTGGCTATGCTGTCCATTTTAATAATTCAAACTTCAATTTACCAATGATGTTTTGTACCAAGTTTGGGCGAAATTGGTCCAATGGTTCTTGAGAAGAAGTTGAATACGTGAAAAGTTTACAGATGGATAGAAAGAGGTGATCAGGTGAGCTAAAAACTGAATTGGAAAATATGTCGATAAATTGAATTTTTTTTTTATTTCGGAAAAAAAGTCAAACACGGTTTCAGACACAATAGAAAGAAATAAAACTGTTGAGATGAGGATGCCTTTCTCAAAGATGTAATGAATGGTGCCCATATAAACATGTTTTCATAAATCACTCACTCGGGATTTTTTTAAATAAAAGAAATAAAATGAAATCTTTTTTAATGATAAAATACTTCTACAAGAAACTTTATGATGAAGACTTTTAGACTTTTTTTTTAGATGTATTAGAAAAACTCACACATTTTTCAAGTTAAATGTTTTAAATCTGACGGAATGCAAAAAAAAAAATTATCTTAGAAAGGATTAAAACTAATACATATGAAACGATCACATTTTTGCGTCTTACATTAAACACAGAATAACAAATCACTAAAGGAGTGAGAACGTTTTTGAACGTGAAGTTTAATCTTGAGAAATTCTTCAACTGTCCGGGTTTTTGTCATTCTTCTTAATTTCTTGGAAATTTGAAGACAATTATCATTAAAATTTTCGTTTTAGTATTCGACACGTATAAGAAGGTTAAAATGGCGCTAATTAAGTTAATTTATTACAAGTGAAGTGTCAACGGCATCAGCATTCAAAGTAAACAAAATATTACATAACAGAGATTTCATCTTTCGTCATATACATCAATATTTCTATTTCTAATTTTTTTTCTCTGTGATAACTCTTTGCAAAATAGCGGATTTGATGTCTTGATAATTCTACCGGAATGTAATTATATAAATTAGGCAGGTCGATAGGTCAGGGGCTAAGGATGCCTAATATGCATGCAAATCTCGTGTGCATCTGTCTCTGTGTCTAACGCTAAGGAGACAAAATATGCAAATTGGCACGGGAGTCCTCGTGTAATTTAAATCTATGTCTACATTTTTAAAGTCTAAATCTAAAATTTTAATTCACAATGAAATGGCAATATAAGGAATAACTCTCTAGTTAGTATAGTATGCCAAGGACATCAACGATAGTGGGACACATGAGATAATTTATGTCATAACGGCTTCGCCCGTCATGCAAATCATCCCATGTTTCCCACTATCGTTGATGCCCTGACATACTATACTAACTAGACGTACATTCTCGGATCCCTTCATAATTCAACCGAGTTCAGTTTGTTATACTGGTTACTGAGATAACACTATTTTTCTCATGAATATACGTTTGCTAAAGCCTCTATATCAATTCATAATTTTAAGATTGTAAATATTTTCCCCGATATATTTCTGGTATGAGTGTTTAAAATTGGTTGCTCAAAGAGGAAAATTCACTGCTTTGTCGTACAAGATGGCAGAGTATAACTCCGAGGCAAAGTAGGTCAGAAGAAAGTCAAATGAGATTTTTTTTAATTGGTGTATGAAACAGATGGAGATAACGAACAGTATTCCATATCAAAAGTCCTTAAAACAATACAAGATAGGAGCAGAGCATACACGGACCTCCAAAACATCAGAGGTGGGGATCAGGTGCTAAAAGGTGTATAAAATTAAAAGCTGGATTCGCAAAAGTATGGATCTTCCTTAAGTTCAAACTTGTTTATAATTAAAAAAAAAAATGTTTTTAAAATATTCTTTACCCTACTCTTTTACAAGTTGTAATTTCAAGTGGTGTATGACACTTTGTGTAAAATGCAAGTGATATCATGACGAGATTTGTAAGATAACCAGTTTCATTTCATGCTAATAAACAGTGTATTTGCGCAGAGAAAATCGATTTCTCCTTTATATAATAATATAAAAGCAGATTTTAGAACAACACTTAAACTAATATAACTGTCCCAAGTGAAGAAATATTAATATCGAAAGCACAACGAAATTCATTTTTATAAATATACCAACTACAGCCCCAACCCGGGGTTGAACTCTCAATCTCCCTGACAAAAATTAACTTTAGTTAACTATAGTAAATACTTTGATTTACTTTGAAACTGTACTCCAGAACTTTTTTGATGAGTTAGAGCTTTAAAATTGTTAAATTACATGTATACAAACGGTGCACATTTTCAAGATAATATGCAAATATACAAGTAAAACTTCCTTTTACTGTAAGAAAATACATGTAGGATGTAGAAATTTAAGAGATAAAATATAAGATATAACAATCTTTATTCAAAGTAAACATACCTTATTAATTCTAGTAAAACTCTGATACTATAGTAAACTGTAGTTAATAATAGTACACTATAGTTTACTTTAGTACTTTTTTATTATGGGAACCTACGGATTATAGCAGCAACGAACGGCGTTCTAGACCGCTCGGCAATCTAGGTAAGTCAAAAAAGGATAATTCGTAGAAAATACCTTCCGGAAATAATGACCTAACATTAAGGGACTCCGACCCTCAGCCAGGAAGGACAACTCTTTAATTTATAATTTAATTCAAAAAGTCT